GCTTTAACTAGTATAATGGGATTTCATTATTCTTTTCCATTGACTCAGGTTCTTATGACATGGTTCTAAAAGCAAATTCCCTGCTGCTTTGTCGTCCTGCTCTGCTCTAAGGGGCAATTCATCTTGGTCAATCTTCTGGGATAGAACAGTCATCACAATTCTGCCTGTATCTGCTTGGAGGCTTTATTAAGTACAGTAAGCTAAAAGTATCTTTAAAAAAAAAAATGCAGGCCCTGATCCTGCAAGCATTCATCCATGTCAGTCTATCTAAATGCAAATAAAACTACCCATGTGCTCAAGGTTAAGCAAGTACATGTTTACAGGAGCAAGGCCGGGGTTTGCAAGTAGGGTTTGGGGAAATACTACAGTACAGAGCAAAGGTGCCATCTAGTGGCTCTGAGGCAAGTAGCTCTCAAACTATGTCTAGGGTTTCAAAAATTCAGAACTGAGGTGGATACAGAAGCCAGTGAGAGGTTTGAGACCTATTGTGTTTGACTCATGTTTAATCCTTTCTCAGCCACTGTGTCCTTCCTTGTTTGCTGGGATGAAGCAGTCTCCTCTCTCCTATTTCCCTCCTGCACTGAAAGGAGGGGTGGACCACTAGCAATAGACTCCTCTACAAAGGAGGAGGTGAGGAAGCAGATTCACTCATCAGAAGCAAAATAGTCATCCAGGACTGATCTCATCATACATCAAAATTATTATGGCTTAACAGCTATACATTGCTTTGCTTTGTTACAATACGATTCTCAAGGGTTGACTGTGCTTAAAATTTTAAGGCTTGTTTTTGTCACAATAAACATGCCTCAGAAAATGGACTTGTGGCTAAATCACCCAGCTCTCAACTTCACAGCTCTGGAAAGGGTTGACTTTCCCCCTCACCTGGTAGCTGCAGGATTCCACGTCAAAAACAGACTCACATTTCTCTTGGTCATAGCCAACAGGGGTGACAGCTCTGCCATGGGGAAAGAGAACAAACAGCAGGGTGAGAGCAGCAGAGCACCTGGATCATCCGTCTTCCACCAAAGGCTGGGAGAAAAGCCCCTCAGGCTGCTGCTCTCTCTGTAGTTACTAGGGCAGCAGGAGAGAGTCTAAGAGCTGCTGCTGGCCCTTGAGATTTCAACTCTTTACCTTCCTCCTCCCTTCCCCCAATTCCTTTCACCCTTCTAATTGTGCCCACATGATGGCACATGATGGTTTGTTCTTGTTTTTGGTGTGTGTGTGGTGTGTGTTTTGTTTTGTTTTTAACAACTAAAACTCCTCTAGCATTCTGGGTAGGGTCACTGTATGCTTTTGCAGTTTCCCTTTGATTCCCCACTTCCTCCTCTTTGTTCTGCCCTTATCTTCTGCCCCCCTCTCCATCTCTGCATTTCAGGTGACTATATCACCTTTAAAAAGAACAGGAGTACTTGTGGCACCTTAGAGACTAACAAATTTATTAGAGCATAAGCTTTCGTGG